GGGGGGTCCTTTCCGGCTAGCGAGGCCTCCGCCGGCCCGGCAGTGCCCTGCTCGGCCCGCCCTGGCGCCGTGCTCTGTTTACGAGTCCCCTCAGTCTGCGCGCGCCCGCCCCGGCTTGCCCACGCGCCTACCCCCGCCGCGTCGCGTCGCACCAGCCGCACCAGCTGCAGCGGCTGCAGCACTTCGCGCCCCGCCGCATCTCCGAGAGCGTGGTCGAGTGCGGCGCCGAGCCCCCGTGCGGGTCGAGGGTGAAGGCGAGCGGCTGACCCGATGCCATGGGCACCGAGGTCGCCGCCGTGCGTCTGTTCGACTGGACCCGGGCGCGGAGCTGCAGGTGGGAGAGGCGCTCCCTCAGCCTTAGCTCCGACTCCACCAGGGACGGGTGGGTGAAGCTGCTGCTCCTTGTTCGCGTCCTGCTCGGTCCTGCTGCAAGTGCTGCATGCCGCTGCCCTTCTCTGGTGCAAACCCCCTGCGGGCTCCATGGCCGTGACGAGGAACAGAACGAACTCCAGCCTTTGTGCCGTGCCCGTCCGTCACTCCTCGCCCTGCGGCTGTGCCTGCCATCTCCCCATTGTGACACCCCCTTTCTCTGCATCTCTCTGGTCTGGTCCACACTCAAAAAGGCCGAGGACAGTTTTTGTTTTGCAAATGGATGATGATTACTCATCTCAGTTATAAGGTCCCTGGGAAGTTCCAAAAATTGTTTTCACATTTTGATACAACGAATTGTAGTTATGCAGATCAGAGAACACGGGCGCATCCGAGGCGCATCCACTTGTTAGACAAAAAGTTGGCCTGTGACATTCCGTGTGCTGTTGCTGCTGCTGTTTGCTGCTGCTGCTGTTGCTGCTGCCGGTCGGCCCGGCAGGCGCTGCGTGACTTGTTATCGGGTGTCAGAGTCAGATTGCGCGGCTGCTGGCGATGGTCCGATCAGCTTTGCCTAGTGGCTGGGCCGCCTTGACCCTCCCTCCCTGCCGCGCTGCCTATGCCAAGTTTTATTTATACCGCAAATGTATATTTCGGTCGTGGGGTAATTTTTACCTGGACCAACGCGCTAAACGCCGAGCGCATGCCGGCCTCTCAGCCGACGAGAGACGAGCAGGTGCGTACTGGACCAGGGAAGATTAGTCTCTTCCCCCTTCCAGCGTTGTTCAGAGCGCAGCCGGATATGTATCACTTACAGGGTCCTTGTCTCGGTGACTGTCTCTTTCTCTCAAGTGATTGTCTATTATTTCTCTTAAGAGATTGTCTCCTCGGTAGACTCTGTCTCCTCGGTAGACTGTAACATCCAATGGCCACTAGCTGGTCGCCGGCTGCGTTACGCAACTTGTAGACCGCCCCCGGGCCGCGGCCGGGCGACCCCCTTTGGGGCCTCACCTCAATCAACCCCCGTCCCGGCCCCGGCCCCGGCGGCCGCCCCGCCTACCGCTGTTCAGC